GATGAAGACGAACGGAAGAATAAAAGAAAAAGGCATATGGACAATTTGGACAAAACTGACTGCAATGAAAATAAGGACAAAGCAGGATGGTTTCCAATCCCTAGAAGATCTAGGTCCCGTCGTCGAACCAAGCTCCATAATCAGGGCCACGGCCCATTCACCCAAGACAACATTCCCGGGTTCCGGAATCATACCGGTACACCGATGTTCCCAAAGCTTATTATTACCTTCACAACAAACACAAAACACCTCAAAGTCTACATGTTCACTGTTCGGCCGAAAAAAACTTTATCTGACGTTACGCAAGCACTTTGGCACACCGTCTCCCATAAAGCATAATAAGCGATGCATGTCTGGGAAATTAATGGGTGGTGATTCACCCGCTTTCGTCACTCGGTAGCGAGTAGGGATTTTGTTCCAAAGTATCGGTATTGTATGTGTACATTGAAAGGAGCTCAAAAAGGACATTTTTACAGGAAAAAAAACTGCATTCATTTACCGCCGGCAGGTGTACCAACACAGCATATCCTTTTCTATGACCACTCCACCACATATACCCGGGAAACCTGATGAAAGAAGCAAATAAGAAAGAAAGACTCCGATGTACGCTAATAGAAAAATGAATAAAATAAGGTAAAAAACGCCATCAAGCCCGCAAACTGCACATTCATAGCCAAAGGGAAATTCTCCGCAAAGCTCTTCAAACACCAATCATGCCCCAATCTACAAAACCCCGATCGGCCCACATGCCACCCCGAATACCGAAGGCCTTGGCTCTCGCGGTTGTTCTGCGCGCTCTTGCCGCTACACCCGCCATCATCATCAGCTTCATGCTCTGAATGTCGCGCCAGTTATGTGGTGTATTGAGATCCAAGCTTGCCTGGTCAAGATTTACGCCCTGGGAGGCTCCATGATCGTTTCCGAATCCAAAAACATAATTATTTGGTGAAGCCTCGGAAGACCATGATGTAGAATAAGAGCGTGAATGCACGTGTGACTGTTTGCGAGAAGGCGAGTTTATGGACTTTCCTAATAACGCTTCCTGCGCAGGGGTTGTGAACCAGTGTGAGTGAGACCCATCACGGACTGTCCATTGGAGTTCAGCGATGGGTGTGCCTTCAACGGCGGATGGAACCTCAATTATCCCTTCTTCCAGAAGTCTTCGTAGAGCCCTCTCCTCGCTTGTGTGTGACGATGATGTAAAATCGTAGCCACTGAAAAGTCGGAGTACGTCCATCTTGCACAGGAGCATTCCCAGCAATTTCTTCCTTCGTGTCTCATCATTCCGCAGCGATGGCATAATCTCGTCAATTCGTGAGCCAAAGGCATCAACAACAAACCACATTTCATTAATCCCCCAAGGGGTATACCGCTCCTGTAACCACCCTTGCATCTGTTCATTGATCTCCTTTTTCGCAACGACAGAACTGCACAGAGCAGTGTACTTCTGGCAGTATCGTACTAATCCCCGAACACCGGCGTAATATAAGCCGTGACTGTGCTCTGATGGTTGAAAAATATCAAGGAGCTTCCGACCGTTCTCAGAGAGCTGCTCTTCATCCACCAACCACTGTAGGACTGGCATTTCCCGGAGAAGCTCAGTGGTGTCCTGCTGTCCTCGCTTGTGACGACCCACTGGTGTTCTGTATACTGATCGGGGTGTTGAATTGTCCAGTGGGGTATCAGAGATATGAGGTAGTAAATTCTCATACAGGGGAAGAAGACCACAGCTCCAGGTAGATTTCTCGGGGATATACCCATACTGTGTTTTCAACGCAGCGAGAACGACTTGCTCACAATGAGTTCGAAGAAAGATCATGAATGCGGGAGAAGCAGCAGCGAAGTCGAGAAGTGCGGAGGTAGTCATGCTTGATGCGAGGGATAGCTGAGAGGTGGGTGATAGAGTAGTGAATGCGAAGACTTGGGTTGAGTTTCCGCAAGGCATGATGAAAATATGCCGTTTGGCTCCCAGAAAAGACTAAAAAGAGGTGTTTTGAAGGTACTGTTGAAGTATTGTGTAAAGATTGTATGATATATAAAGGCTGTATGATAGGAAGCTGTTGAGAGCTTTATGGGGTACAAACCAATCATGGGATGCATGAACTGGTGACAAGGATTTATATTCAGATTCCCCGCACCATCAATAGAAGTTTGTTTAAGGTTTTTCGGTATCTCCTAGGAAGTTTGTCAGGATAATGCTTACGGGCCGTATTGCCCCGTCGCAGCTTCACCAGCCGCCAATCGATATCCACGGATCCCTTTGCCGCCCACACACTTGCTGTGATGTCACCCTCGCCTAGCCGGAACCCCTCCACCCATTTTTTTACGGTTCAAGTATCACCACTAGTTGAAAGAGGGATTCGACCCTCTCCCTCTCAAGAGAACCGTTTGTCATCACCTCTTATCCATTGTCATCACCTTTTATCCAGCCCATTTCTCAATCCGGGGTATATGCACACACCAGTGTGGTAACCAGGTTCGCGGTATTTTAGCCAAGCCGATCGATCTACATCTGTTTCTACTAGAGATGCTTATCGGAACTAGCTAGTTGACACAGAGCACAAGTGTGGTTCGCTTTGTGTCCACTATAATCACACCATACCCAATTGCAGCTAAACTCATGGATAAGAGTTTCGTAGTGTACACTTGATAGTTGCGGCATGAGACTTTCTTTAAGCTTGCATCAATGATGGGAACATCTTGAGGTCAATGCGCTGATAGTGATTATCAGGACGAGGAGGTCTACCAAAATTATACCACTCGGTACGAAGGACGATGATGGAGATAAGACTTGCTTGGCCATCGGGAAATCTCGAAATGTGGCCCTCCAAAGCTTCCGAGGCGCCAAAACAACCTTTCACCATAGCGGGCAACCATCAAGAATGCGAATTCGACCAGCCAATTCGTCTTGTGAAAGACATACCAGAAGTCATCTCCTCGGAGTTCTTTCCTGCTCTGCAAAAAGTGCCTGAAGGAGACACATATTACCGGCCAGATATGGGGCACAGGGTGGTTTCACGGCAAATGTGTACCTATTGCGACCGTTCCCGGCCTCCTGGTACTAGTAACAGCACCGCACCCAAAGCAGTTCCCGATATTCTGGAAGGGTTACCCCGCGTTTACGAAAACTGTGGGACCCCGTTATCTCGACAGTTGTTACCTACCGCCGCCCGGCTCCCGCCTGCGTTAATTCACGGCCTAGAATCAATCGAGGCCAGATAGGGGCTCTATGATCGACTCGGGCTCACATTTAGATGGTTAGCTGGGTCCGGGCCATTCTTCCGCGCACATAATTTGAAAAAACAAACATTCGGAGGGTGTTGTCTGCTGAGAACGTCGGAAGCTTGTCCGTGAACGCATTTATTCTCTCAGCCCTACGAAATATCTAAAGACGACTTGTGCGGGACGTTAACAAATCCTCATGCTTAACTAACCTTATATTTTTTCAACCCGCAAGAAGAATATTGTATAAGCAAGTGGTATAAGCAAGTCAAACGTTGTCTGTCAAGTACCAATTCTTGATCAATTGAGGTGTGGTGGGTTTTCCTGCAACAAAGATCCCGAGAAAACCGGAGCGGAGCGTCTCGCATGAATTGGTCAACACCGCCGAAAGCAGAATCACCTGCTTTTCGACAAGACCCCGTTCTTCCGCGACTCTTTCCGGACAAACACGGGAAAGAGATTGAACATACAAAAGAGCAAATATATCTACCGTTAAAAGGTTATTCAGCTATCAGGGAGCGACGAGTGATAGTTAGTGACGATTTCTTTTTCTTTTCGTTTTATTTTTCTTTATTTATAGCTAGTAACAGGAGAATCAGACACATACACTATTTTCTATACTTAAACTATAAACAAGCGCCGGATTTGAGAGCCAGCCAATGATCTTGTGTCTTGATATCAGGCTATGGCCAGACATCATCGAACCGTTGCTAGCAACCCACCACGAGAGGGTGGTATCAGCCAGCTGCTGCTGAATGATCACAAGGTACGACCGCTAGCTAGCCATTGCTCTCGCCACTTTAGGCCCCGCCGTGAAGCGTTTATAAACTATTCCTTAGGCGGTCAGTCCCAATCTAAATAGTGGCCGAACGAGATATGGTAGCCATGCTCTGCAGAACGCAGTTCTTGTATATTTACTCCTTGAGTTTCTTATTACACGCTAGAAATCTCCACCTTCTCCGCTAGAGACAAGGACAGAATGAAAAGTAACCGCGTTCAGCTGAGCGCACATTACCATCTCCGGTTCGGTCACTACTTCGATTGGGACTGACCGCCTAAGGAATATCAAATGATCAACCTCTTCCATGAGTCCTGGCGTCTCGCCTAGAATTATTGGCGAGCCTAAAAAGCCGTTTAACCAGCTTGGCGCAGCCTAAGTGGCGCCGGCAAGAGTAGAAGCTTGATCACAGGAACGTCGGCGCAAATTTTGCTTAAGCCACGATATTTTCATAATCATGGCAGTACAGTTGATTCACTGGCAGAACAAAATCTCCTCGGAAATAGAATGAAGACATATGCCTTGGCGCGGTTAATAATTATAGAACTTTGCCAAGAAAGAAAGAAAATTCGTTTTTTACATGAGTTCTGCACGGATGTTTCTACCGTTTTATATCAGAATCGAAATTGGGACAGTGTATAAGACCATGTCACACAGAGGGCGCTGCGTTGTATGTTGCCTACTACAATATATCTCATTTAGCCGCCGGATTTGGGGCAAAAGAGTAAGACAAAGTAAGGATTTCAGCATGGATATATGTGAGTCATGAGGCATCACTCGACTCCTCCATACCTCCTCGCGAGATGAGCACGTAGCTGTCCTATATTGTTTCCCCAGAACGCAAGAAACTGACGAATGTCACCCTCATCCATATTTGTAAAAGTAAAAAGAAAAATTTACTGGCGCCCCCCCCCCCCCCCCCGCGCATTGAGGAAATGGTACAAAAGCATCGAGTAGGAAAGAAAACTAGAGAAGTCTAATCATCATTCGACCCAAATGAAGCCCCGGTAGGGGATCGAACCCCAAACCTGTTGTATGAAACAACCAGTGCTAACCAATTGCGCCGCCGAGGCATGAAAAAATAGACGGTCAGGCGGAGCTATTCCGACCACAACACACTTCTTTACCTCCCAGGTAAATATTGACAGGTGCATCGTTTGGGCTTCAAGTTGGAGTGACTTTTGAACACGGTGTGAGTGGGAGTGTTGCTCTTTCTAGAATCCATTGCATGTATGCGTATGGTCCCTTCATTCAATTTCCGGGTGACCCGTATACTATGGTAGGTGGCTAAACACACGTAGCTAAGAATGTTACAACTACACTTAATATATCGCTGAACTGCTGAACTCTCCTACGAATGATTTCCTCTCCACTTATATTTTCCGGACCTAAAGATCGCCCATCCATGAAATCAAAGGGTTCCTCTCGATCTCCGCGATCCCATAGTCCGTCAATGCTGACCCTTTTTTCGTGGGGGGCCGAAAGCCACACGGAACCCGAGCGAGGGATTGGCCAGAGATTGATATCATTCAGATCCAATAATTGATAAAGATTTGTTAGCACTAGCCACCCCTTTGGCCCCCCACGAAAAAGGGTCAGCATTGTCTTGACGGAATATGGGACAGTACAGGCAACAAAACAGATGTCTTTCCCGAAAAACCTATTCTTTGACGGCCCTATCGAGCTAAATACTACACGTAGCATCGCTAACTCCAGCAGCTAGCACCGAGTGCCAGGTTGTTTCTTCTCAACCAACGGTCCCAATCCAAGGTTAAGGGTTCGGACCAACTATTCCGATATCTCAGAGTAACGAGCTGCTGCTAGACTCTAGTGTTGCGAACGGTGTTTGCATAGCTAGAGGCCGGCCGGGAGCCTATCCACTCCGTCGGCCGACATGTGCCGCCAAGCCTGAGACAAGGAGGAGGGAACATTTCTAGAAATCCGTATCCACAGCTTGGACGAACCTGCAGAATTAACAGACACCTTTAACTGGGCTTGAGGGCCAGGAGGCAAGGCACATGTGCTATGCATGATATGCCTCTTTAACTCTATCGGACGGCAGTACGCAGTGTGCCTCGGTCGAGCCCGCATAATCGCGCCGGATCGATCAGGTTCATCCGGTACTTGGTATATCTACTATGTATACGAGACACATGCGCGCCTCCAACATTTTCCCGCAGCCATCTTGGCACCGCACCAATCAGCATGGTTAATCATGAGATATCACTCGCTCTTCCGTCGTGGTGGCTGTCATAAGCATGGTTTTAGAGCTTCAACTTTGCGAGTCTATTTGCAATTGTGTTTGGCCATATCATCGGGGATCTTTTTTTATCTACTCATGGTAGCAGAGTTAGTAGTTCAAAGCCATGATGCAGTTGATCCTTCGCCAAAAATTAAATTCTGTCCCATGCCCGCCCACTGCATGCTACGCTTATCAATGTATACTTTGACCTTAGCTGTCAGGACATGCTGGCGTATAGAAATTGTATATCTGCTAAGCGTTCTTCGTTGCTTTTGGAGGGTGTTTTATTGTTTTTAATTGTGCCCGGCGCCTGCTATATAGCTACATGTACTGTTATGTTATGGTCAATAATATAGAATTTTTTTTGTTTAATCCAGTAAGTAATATAGACATGTAACTTGTGTTTTGGTATTTCTCACTTCTTCAGTTCACAGTTCAAACCTTGAACTTTGTCGGTTATCAAAACCTGCCTAGCACTAAAAAATGGGGAAGGCCTTAATTCTCCAAGGAAACTTGACAGGTCGGCCAGCACCCACCAAGAGAGTGACTACATGTACAATGGCGAGAAGTAGGTGTAGTCCTAATAGTTATAACGGCATATACTACATGTAATACCACCATGCTCTCTTCTCGCAGTACCCACACAGCAGACATCAAATACGAAATGTAACCATCTGTGTAAGCACTCGCACTCTGATGAGAATTCTCAATATCAGTGCCCTAGATAATGCCTATACGCATCCCAACCCGGAATAGCATGATCAAGCTTTACTCTGCACAGTAGATAGCTACATGCGCACAATCGCATTGTCCCATAGTCACGTGACCTCTGGCCCTCAACCCAGAAATTCTCGTGAAACGTTCCCCCACCAAAACCTCCAAACCGCCCGCCGGAGGACCAATTGAGCGCCCACACACACACATCTAGACCACCGCCAGCCATGCCTCCCAGACCTGCGCTCCCCTCACAATCAGCGCTGACCCGCTGCTTCACGAACCTGCGAGTCACACCCAGTATGTAGCCCCCCCCCCCCCATCCTCATCCTCCCCCCACCACTACACCCAATACTCACCTCTCTCTCTCTCTCTCCAGCGCGCCACCACCTCGCCGCCTTCTCCACCACCCCGGCCGCCCACAAACGCGAGCACCGCAGCTCCGAGGACCTCGCAGCCTCCGAAAAACGCCGCCTCGACAACCTCGCCCTCCAGGAACGCCTAAAACAGGAGCGGCTCTCCAACGCCATCAACCCCGTCGTCGGCCGCCCCACCGCCTTCCTCCGCTCCCTGGAGACGCCCTCCCCGCTGCTCCCCCCCGTCGACTGGGCACTCACGCACAACATCGACCCCACAAAGGGCCACGACAGCCCCCTCCACCTCAACTTCTACCTCACCCCGCAGGACGTGGGGGCCGCCATCGAGAACAGCAAGCGGCTGACGGCGCCCGCAAACCCCGTCTCGGCCAGCGGCGTGGTCGACTCCCACGTCTGGCCAGAGAAGATTGTGGCCCACGAGAAGGCGCACGGCCACGCCGTGGCCGCAATCCAGCGCATCGTCAGCCTCAGCATCGGCAGCAACGCCGACCGCCAGCGCGTAAACACCATGCGCTGCATCGAGACGTTTGGGCGCCACAACACGGACGGCGCGCTGCCGCGGGACCCGGACGCGCGCCAGGGGGCGGGGGCGGGGGCGGGGGAGGGGGGGAAGACGCCGCGCGCGGGGCCAGATACGGGGAGTAGCGAGGTGCAGGCGGCGATCCTGACGGTCAAGATTAGGAATCTGGCGAGGATGCTGGAGGCGAGTGGCCACAAGGATAAGCACAATAAGCGCAATCTGCGGCTGCTGGTGCATCGCAGGCAGAAGCTGCTGAAGTACTTGAAGAGGAAGGAGAAGGGCGGCGTGAGGTATCGGAATGTGATGAGCGCGCTGGGGCTGGACGAGGCCGCGGTGATGAAGGAGTTGAGTATCTAAGGGGATGCGGCTTTGGTGTGTGTGTGTGTGTGTGTGTGTGTGTAGATAGTTTGTAGAATGCCATTGATCCTGTTTGTGCTTTGTGGAATGGGAGGGGCTCAGGTAGGGGGGGGGGGATTGTAAATATAGTAGTGGGTTTGCACGAGGCCGTGGGTACTACCCATCATGTCCCAACCCGGCGCCTGCAGGCACAGCTAATCACTCGTGATCCTATCGCCTTCGCGCCTTTATGTCCCGTTTCTGCTTCATGGAAAATCACTCGTAGAGGTTTTGGCCACACTTATTTCCCTGCAGGCGGACTCAACAGCCTGCAGGATCGGGTGGTGGCTTGCTTGACTACATCTGTTGGAGGGGGTAACGTAAGGACCACATTGATCATTCCCCGCGCCGGAAGAAATGGGGGTTGCTGGGGGCCAATGATCAAGTTTGCGCTGTTGTGACTGTTACATACTTGCAAGATGTATGGACGAAGAATCGGTGCCGTGACGGCCTGCCCTCAATCATGGTAGAATCTCTCTCTCGTCCCTCTTTGACTCTCATCCTATGCTTTGGTCTTGCTACATACATACCCGAGTACCTACAGCTTTGCATTATGTAATTACAACACCGGGGCCGCCATGCACCCAGAACGTCGCCACCTTCCTTCCTGAGTCCCCCCCCCCGAGATACATACATAGAGTGGTTATGCAGCTGACTAATCGCATGTGCTCGGCGCCCGATGCAGCACTGCGCATGCACCTTCCTTTCCGCGGGATGTGTGTGTGTGTGTGTGTGTGCGCGCGCAGAACAATTCCTTGAATCTGTGGGCATCACCAATATCGCGGGTCTGTATCTGGCTGTCTGTCTGTCTGTCTGTCGAGAGAGATTATCCGGGACAGCCCTAAGGTAGAAGAGTAGAGTAGAGACAGGAACACACACACACACCTCCACCACCAGAGCCAGGGTGAGGCTCAAACAAACGGGCGGCTGCTTGTGTCACCGCCACGTTGGGTCTAGCGGACAAGAGGCAGAGGCAGAGGCAGAGGCAGAGACAGGGACAGGGACAGACAGGGACAGACAGACAGACAGACAGACAGACAGACAGACAGACATTGACGCAACTCTCCAGTCCAGTCCAGGCGAGCCAGTCAAGTTAGCCGGCCAGTAGCCAGACAGCAGCCAGCAGCCAGCAGCCAGACAGCCAGCCAGACAGACAGACAGCCATCCACCCAGACATCCAGCCATCCAGCCATCCGACATCCAGACACTGGCAACAACCCCAGCCAGCCCGTCTTTCTACGCTTGCTTCCATTTCCCTTCTTTCCTTCCTTCCTTCTTCCTTCCTTCTTCCTTCCTTCCTTCCGTCATCCTTCCCTTCTTCCCTTCCTCCTCTTCTTCTTCTTCTTCTTCTTCCTCTTACCCTTTCTGTCACCCTTCTTGTTACCCTCCTCGTCACCCTCCCTCTTCCCATTCTCCCCCTTCCCTTCCCCTTCCCTGCCCCTTCCCTTCCCCTGCCCCTGCCCCTGCCCTTCCTTTCCTTCACCTACCTGGCTGATCCCCCACAACATCATCACAGCCCATCAACAAACACACAACCAAAACAGCATTCACCCTCAATTCCACAATCCCTAATCCCTACACGACATCTACAACACCCACAACGCACAAACGCAGCGCACCACCACCACCAAATACAAACACAATGCTAGACCCGACAACACTCTCCTCGCTCAAGGTCACTGAGCTCAAAGCCGAACTCAAAAAGCGCGGGCTGCCGGTGGGAGGCCTCAAGCAGGCGCTCGTGGAGCGGCTAGCAGAGGTTGTGATCCAGGAGCGACAGCGGGAGGCAGAGGCAGAGGCGGAAGCGGAGGAGGAGGAGGAGGA